TTAACGACTCTGTTGTGGGGCGGGAAGCCGCTGTTGTCTTTTCTCCCCAAAACAAAGGCGACAGGATTTTATCTCAGGGGAGAATCTGGCTTTTGTGAGATGCAGAAAGCCTCTGCCCCCGGGCAGGCAGGGATGAGGCTGGGGGGGTTGAAAGACAACAGATTCCTGCCTTCCCGACCTGGCACTGCCCCTCTGCCTGCTCCTGCCCACCATACCCACTACTCTGTGTCCCTGTCCCATGCCTGTGCCCAAAGTGCACCACTGGTGACCAGGCAGCAGAGGGGAGAGAAGGGACCCCATGGGTCAGCAGGCACGGAAAGGGGGCCCGTGGGTGCCCACACTTGGGGGCAACCCATGCTGCTTCCCAGGCAGTGGCTGGGGCAGGGGCCGTCCTCTCCCACCAGATCCCAACAGCAGCAGTTGCTGCATCCCTGGACACCACACACACAGGCACCCACACCCAACACACCTCCCTGTCTGCACAAACACCCCCATCCATGTACAAGCACCTGCACACACTATCTCATGCACATACATGCACACGCCAGCATATCACAGACTGGGTTGGGTTGAAAGTAACCTCAAAGCTCACCCAGTTCTAGCCCCCCTGCCACGGGCAGGGACACCTTCCACTAGAGCAGGTTGCTCCAAGCCCTGTCCAACCTGGCCTTGGACACTGCCAGGGATGGGGCAGCCACAGATTCTCTGGGCACCCTGTGCCAGCGCCTCAGCACCCTCACAGGGAAGAATTTCTTCTTAATAATAACCTAAATCTTCTCTCAGTTTAAAGCCATTCCTCCTTGCCCTATCACTACTTGCCCTTGTAAAAAGTCCCTTTCCAGGTTCCTTGTTGGCCCCTTTAGGCACGTGGAGATGCTCTAAGGTCTCCCCGGAGCCTTCTCTTCCCGCAGGCTGAACCAGCCGAGCTCTCTCGCGGCGGCGGCGGCGGGGGAAGCAGTGCTGCGAGCCCCATCTCCTGGCCAGCGGGAGCAGCTCTGCTCGGGGCGCGCTGTAATGGGACGAGCGGGCCCCCCCCCGCCGTGGAGATTTGAGCTGGTGGCAGTGGCTTATGCGGCGGGCCAGCCCTGGGACTGTGCTGGAGCGCTGACAAACTGAGCTTGGTAATGGTCTGCGGCACGGGGATGTGTCCTGGCTCTGCTCTCCACTCGTCAGCCTCAACGATGGGGCTGGGAGTGGAGCAGGGTGTGCAGAGGATCCAGGCTGCAGAGCTGCGCCATGTCCTGGTGTGGATCCTACTTGTACTCACTTCGGGTGGCAGAGACCAGCATAGGAAGGGCACCCAATGAGCACGGGAGCCTGGTAAGCCTGGGTTTACTTTGAGTGGATGGAGCAAAGCCCAGCAAGGGCTCAGCTTCATGGCCCAGGGCTGGGGCCCTGTAAGCCCCTCAGCTGGAGATGGGGGTTGCCATGTCTGCTTGAAGGCTGGGAGCAGGGAAGTGCCTGAGAGCAGCTCAGCACCCAGCTGGGCACCCTGGACCGCGATCCCTCGGGGACTATCCTATGCCGCACATGCCTGTGGCAGGGACAGCTCTCCAGCTGACCACAGCCCAGCGATGCCTCTACCATGCAGGGCAGAGGAGCTCAGCAGCGATGGTTCCTGCCCCCAGCAGCTTGTGGCGGAGGTCCTGCCTCTCACTCACTGCCCGTGTGTATTGTGGGGCTACCCCTCCAAGGTACTGAGGGGCTATGGGAGCAGCAGGGCAGAGGGGTTGCAAGGTGGAGGACCGGGGAAGCCAGGCACATCTGTCCAGCTGGGAAAAACTCAGGGCTGCCTCTGCCGGCAGATGCGGGCAGCTCTTCCTGCTTGCACAGACACGACGCTGCCGGCACAGAGCCGGGCTAAGCCTCGCGGTTCCCCGCTGCTCCATCCCCAATGGTTTCAAGCCCCGCAAGCCGCTTCCTGGGGGAAAGGGGCCTCGGCGAACCCCGGGCAGGATGCTCTCTCCTCTCCTCTCCTCCTCTGCTTCCTTCCTCTCCCCGGCCGCGGCACCCCCCCCCCCTCCCCCCCGCCTTCCGCGACTTTTTAACCCTTTCACCCACGCTCCGGCCGTGCGCCAGCCCCACGGCCACGGCTCCCGCCCGCTTCCCTGTGCTTTGTGCGGGGTCCCCGGCGTCGCGCTGCTCCCGGCTCCCCTCCGCCGCCATCCTCCCGCAGCGCCCGAGCACCTGCCGAGGGCCGCCCGCAGCGAGCCCGGGCTGCCCATGGCCCCGTGCGCCACAGCTCCCCCTGCGCTGGGCTCTGAGCTCCCCCCCTTTGCACTGGGGAGACCGAGCGGGAGAGCCCGCTCCGGGGCCGCGCTCCCTCTGCTTCGCTGCGGCGGCGCAAAGCGGCCGTGGCGGGAGCCGGTGCTGTGCATCGGATGCTGTGCGCCCGGAGGGGAGCAAGGGGGCCGGGGCCGGGCTGTGCACAGCGACCGGGGCCTCCAGAGGGAGCCCGCAGTCACCCGGTCGGGCTCCGCAGGCCCCGCCGCGCTCTGCGAGGCCGGACCGGGCCGGGGGGCTCGGCTAACGCGGCCGGGGGGGTGGCTCGCAGGCAGCGCCCGGCAGCGGGGTCCCTCACGGTGAGGACACCCCCAGAACCGCAGACAAAGCGCTGCGCTATGGCGGCAGGGCCGGGCCGTGCTGCCGCAGTGCCGCACATCCGGGCGGGAGCGCAACCGGGATGCCATTTGCTTGCTCCTGGCCGGAAGGACCCTTCCTGCTGGTGCTGGCCATGGCACGGGGAGAGGGGACACGGCAGAAGGGGAGTGCATCTGAGGGCACCATCTGAGGGCACCCAGCCACCCTCACCCTGCTCCTCTCCGCACCAGTAACTGTGGGTGGTGGGGAGCAGTGAAGAAATCAGCACTGGGCACCACTGAGGCACTGCTGGCAGGGATATGGACACGTCTGGGGTTGCCTGAGCCACCCAGTCACCACAGGTACAACCCTGCCCACCAGTGCCTGTGGGGCTGTGCTGTGCCAGGAGCGGAGGGCTTGGCCTCTGGGGGAGGACGCCTGGGGAGCACCAAGCCCAGGTGGGGAACTGCCCTGCTGCTGGCCCTGGCTCTCCTCACTCAGCCAGCACCAGAGGGGGACACGTGAACAGAGTGAGGGCAGCAGTGATGGTCAGATCTGGTATGTAGCTCCACTGCTCTGGGACAGTCCTGAGCCTCTCGGCAGGGCAGCCCTGACTCACTGGGTCTGGGGTGCCAGGCTGTGGGGAGGCACCACACCATAGGGTGCTCCCGCCCTGTGCAGAGCCCTGCCCACCCCCGGGGGAGTTATAAATAAACTATTAGCTTTATTTTGGGAACGTGGCGGAAACGTGCGTGGCAGGTTGCTCCGGAGAGAAAGGGGAAAGTTGGCTGCCTGGGTGTGCCGGGGTGTGGCTGCTGGAGCTGGAGTACATCCTGGAGAGACTGGCTGTGCCCAAGGTTTTTCCCTGGTTAGGCATAAACAGTGGGACCCTGGCCATAGCAGGAGCTGGGAATAAGGCCGCATTGATGCTAGGCCTTGGTACGGAGCTTGTGCAGCGCTTGGCACAGAGCCGTTGCAACTCCATGTCGCTGCAGCGCATGGGCACTGGGCAAGATGGCCCATGGTGGGTTGGGTACCACTGGTTGAGGCCTGGGCTGGGACCCTGGGGGTAGAAAAGTGTAATGAGCAAAACCTCTGACCATGGAGCTTCCCATCACATCACGCCATGTTCTGAGACTGAGCATGGCAGTGTCTGTGTGCTGGCGGCACACAGTGGGGAGACAATGGAGTTGCGGACCTTGGTATAACCCCTCTGGGGCACGTGCTGGTGGAGAATAGCTGCCCCATGGCCAGTTGCAGGTAGGGCAGGGCCAAAGGGGGAAGCCGGGAGCCCTAGGAGGAGCTGCCAACGTGTGCAGTCAAGGCGCAGGCAGGGCACAGGGATGCCCGCTGGTCGGATCCTGCAGGCCCGCTGAGGCGCCAACCTGCAACCGCTCCAGAACGGTGTTTTCAGCGGGGAAGGCAGCACCCGTCCGGGCAGCGAGTACCGGGCAGCAGGTGCTGCCGCCCGCAGCGTGCACAGAGGCTGAGTGGGGCCCCTGCCCGGCGTGGAGAAGGCGGTGGCGGCACGGTCAGGGGCTCCCGCACGGCCCGATGGTGGTGGTGGGGGGGAACAAAGAGCAGCGGCGGGCGGGGGGAGTGGGTCCGCCCGGGCAGCGCAGAGCCGAGCCGAGCCCCGCGGCGGCACCCAGCACCCCGCCCGGCACCCCGGGGGGCAGCCGGGCCCTGCCCTGCCCCCTGCTCAGCCCGGGCAGCACCGCCCCGGTGCCACATCCTTGCGCTGCCCTGGCCGCTGCCCCCCGCCCGGCCGCCCCCGCCCCGTGCCTGCCCAGCCGTGCCGGTGCGGCGGCGGCGTGGCGCGGCGCCCGGACCCGCGCGGCTGGCGGCGGAGACCCCGGCCCCCATCTGGAGGTAGCGACGGAGCCGCCACCGCCCGCCGTGGGGCCGCCGGCCGGCCGAGGAGGAGGCGGTGGGCGCCGATGGCGGCCCGGCCCGGCGGAGCGGGCGGGCGCGGGGCCGGCGGCGCGCCGCTCGGCGGAGGGAGAGAGGGCGGGAGCGCGGCGCTCGCTGTCCGGGAGCGGCGGAGCCCCGGCGAGGACAAGCCAGGCCGCGGGCACCCGGGCGCCGCTTCCCGGCGGGCGAGGCTCGGCGAGGCTCGGCAACAGCACGGCCCGGCACAGCGGGGCCCGCGGTGGGCGACGGCCCGGCCCGCGGGTGGGTGGCGGGGGGGAGGGCGGTCGGGGCGCCGGGCCCGGCGGACAATGGCAGGGGGTACCCCGAGCACTGCGGGGGAGGGCGGCGGCCCGCGACCCCCGCCCCGATGGCTGCCCGCTGCGACCGGGACCGGGACCGAGGCGGAGCCGGCGGTCCGTGCCGCTGGGCAGCAGCCGCCGAGTGCCCCGCCGGGGCGCAGGGCCTGGCGACTCCATTTTGTGGGCGCTCGCAGGCCTGTGGCCTGCTTACCGGCCCCGCGGCCGACCGGGAGGGGAAACGGAGGGGGGAGAGGGCAGCGGCCGGCTGGGGCACCGGGGCCGGCAGGTGAGGCACTGCCCGGCCGCCCCGTCCCGCCCCGTCCCGGAGGCCCGGTGCCCCCACCACTGCTTGAGATGGGGGTAGCGGGCCCGAGGGTGCGGGGCCGGGTGTGCCGCCATGTGCGCGAGGCCGAGCCGGTGTGTCCGGTGCGCAGGGGGGAGCGGGCCCGGCGGGTCACACCGGGGGGGGGCAGCACTGAGTGTGTGTACCCCGGGGTGATGGCGCTTACGGGAGGGGGAGTAAGGGGGGGCGCCCGTGGATGGGGGGGGCGGTGGGGGGTAAGGGGATGGGAGGGGGGGAGCTCGCGCGGGCGCGCGCTGATTGGCCGCCGCCGAACCCCAAGAGTGGGCGCGGGGGGGCGCGCGCAAGCGCGGGTCGCGCGCGCCGGCGGGATGGCGGCGCCGGGCGCGCGCATGCGGGGGAGGGAGGAGGAGGGAGGCGGCGGAGCGGCGCTGGCGGGGCCTGGCCCGGCCGGGTCGGCGCGTCTCCTCCTCGGCCCGCACCGCGGGCAGGCGGCGAGCCGGCCGCGGCGGCCGCAGGTGAGCGGCAGCTGCCCGGACAAGGCGGCCGGGCCCGAAGCCAGCCGGAGTCGTGTCGTGCCTGTGCCGGGCGGCGGGCCGAGGCCTGTGGCCTAGCGCTGAGGCGACGGCGTCGGCCCGCGCGGGGCCGGCGGAGCGCAGAGGGCCCCCGGGCGCGGCTGCCATTTTGCGGCAGTGCTGACCCCATTGTGCTGTGCCCGCAGGTGGATGCCCGCGGCCCGGCATGGAGCAGGCCTGCGAAGTGAGCCGCCGCAGCTGCCTAGTCCCCTTCGGCACCTCGCTGGCGGCAGCCGAGGCCAAGGGCGGCCCCGAGCCGCCCGCCATGCAGCTGGCGGCCGCCAAGCCCGTGTACGGCCAGGATCCCTCGTCCTGCTACATCCCTTTGCGCCGGCTGCAGGACCTGGCCTCCATGATCAACGCCGAGTACCTCGGCGGCGCTGCCGACGGTGCTGAGGCCCTGCCCGACCCCGGCTCGCCTCCACCCCGCCTCCCCGCTGCGCAGGACCCGTCAGCCGGCGTCGACGGACCCGGACCGGCGGCCGAGGCGCCCCGCGGGGCCTTGGCCTTCCCCCTGCTCCTGCGGGACGACGGCGAAGAGGAGGCGGAGGAAGAGGGCACTGAGACGCCGGAGGAGGAGGACGAAGACGACGACGACGACGAGGACTACGACGAAGAAGAGGAGGTGGACGCGGAGGAGGAGGAGGCGGCCGAGCCCGTCTCCCGGAGCCGAGGCCACTCCGGGCCGCAGCAGGGCCGCGGAAGCCCTCCGCCGCCACTCTTGCAGCCGGTCGAGCCGGTACCGATTACGGTGTCTGACGGCGGCCCCGGGGAGAAGCCGGAGCCTTCTGCCGCGGCCCTGCAGCTCGTAAGTACCGGCGGGGGGAGGGTGGCGCCGGGCGGGGGGCCGTGGCCGCTGCCATTTTGCGGCGGAGGCCGGCGAGGCGCGGTGCGGCGGGGCCGGGCCGGGCGCCCTCGCAGCCGGCACCCTCGAGCGTGGGCAGCCATCTTGCCGAGGGGACCCTGCCGAGGCGCCGTGGCCGCAGCCTGCGGCTGCCGCCCTTCGGGGCCAGCGGGGCCAGCTGTCAGCGGGCTCTGCTGCGCACCTTCCGCGGCCTCTTTTCCCCTCGGGAGTAAGAGCCATCATCACCGCGCCGCACAGCAGCGGATCGCCGCGAAGTTCGGTGGAGTTTTTCCCCCATTACAAGGTTCTTTTTCCTTTTCTTTGCGCGCACTGCAGATGAGGAGGGCAGGAGGAGCGCTTTTCCTCTCCTGCCAGTTTCGCTGTGCCGCTGTCAGACAGCTCTTTGTTTGGCCTGGCTGGAGGTACCCAAGCTGTGAGAGTTTGGCGGTGGCCAGGGAGGGGCCGTGTCACGGCCTGACAGACCCCGGCCAGGAAAGCTGGCCTGCTAGTTTGGCTTTTATTTTTTTCTTTCTGAGCTCACAAATTCCTTTAGCTTGTTTTCTGATATGCTCAATAAGAAGCAAAACTGGTTGAACTTTCAGAATTCTGAGTTAGCTGCATTCAACTTTATTGTAAAATGCGTTTTTGAACGGAAGTATTATTTCTGGGTCGTCCTCAGAGTGATTATTTGCAGATATGTATGTATATTTCTTGCAGCTCTTAAGTGTTTTTTTGGGGGGTGTTATTAGTTGTGTATATATTTCTTAGATATGTTTTGGCAAATTTAAGGTTCTTTACTGGAGGATGCTCTGGGTGTTAAGCATTACTTGATGCAGGGTGTGAAAATCAACACATGTGACAGCACTGATACCAAAACCATCTTGCTCTCTTTAATTTCAGTAGAGCTGCTGATGCTGGACAGATGCTCCTGGTGCCTACAGCACTTGCGGAGAAATATTTGCTTTCACCTGAGTGCAGTTGGGAACATGCAGTGTTCCTGCTGTGTGCTCTCGAGGAGGGGGAACACTTGTCACAGGGAAGGGGCGATTTCAGGAAGGTGCTGACAGCGGCTTAATTTGTCAGGCTCAGCTCTGGCTTGTGGATCCTCTTGAATGTTCCTTGGGAAGAGTCATTCTCCTCGTGGATACTCAGTTTTGAGTGTTTGGGGGTAAGAGGCTGCTTTGGGCCGAGGTTTGTGCACACACTTAGCTTTGTTTTGTAGAGCAAAGCGGGGATCATTCAACAGACATGTGCTCAGTGATGCGGTTGTGGGAGGGTCTCACTTTGTAAACAGAAGCGAGCAGAGGTACTTTCACAACACTTGTCTTTGCCACGGCTTTGCAACGTGCTTCACAGAACTGCAGCTTGTACGGTGACAAAACTGGCTTAGTGATTGAGCCTGGTATTTGAATATGCATCTAGGGGTTGACCTTCCCGTAAAACTGCCTTCCTGTTTGCTGTGGTACATTAGTGTTGCTGAATTGTGCTGGTGACTTAAAGCATAGCTGCATTCAGAAGAAAACACAAAGAACAGCGTTTTTTAGGCAGCCTGGGGTCCTTCTCAGGTGTTGAATTCTTCCTTTAGTAAGTGCTGGTTGTCTGAGTGGTCCTTCGTTTTAGCCTGCTTGTGGGATGGGAAGAGAAGGGGGATTTTTCTCTCTGTCAAGTTATCAATGTGACAGTTAAATCTTCTGTTGAACATGACATAGTAACTGGAAATAACCAGGTTCGCTCCTGCGATCATGTGTGGATGTCGGCATTTAATTCCAGCCTCGTTTGTGTTTGGGTAACTGGAACCAACTTTGACAGCCTACTAAAACTAAACAAAAAAAAACAGCCTGAAACAAGAACCACAAGCCCTTGGGAGTTCTTCACTGATATATTTAGGGTGCTTTGTCACAGCTTGGGCTACTGTTTCAGGTAATAACCTTTACCCAGCCTGATGATGGGGCTCCTCCACCTTACAGAGAGACTTTTTCAGAGCCTTTATTCTTGAGGCTTAGCTGCTGCTCAAACTTCCTGCATGTATCTCAAGACCTCTGTGTCTGCCCCTTGCAGGCTTTGAATTTTTCACTAGGTCATTGTGAACTGGCTTTGAAAATGCTGATTTCCAAAACGTCAGGAGTGCTTCCAGCTGAAGGGCCATCTTTTGGATTTAGTCTTTAGTGGGATGCAAAGTTCAGCATTTAAGTAGTGCCTCTGGGTGGCAGGTATTGTTTTGTATGGGGATTTGTCAATAGCCCTGGCATCCTGTACTCAAATGTTGCCCCAAACGGGGAAGAGGTTGCTCAGACAGCATTCAGTTGTAAAGAGGGATCTGCATATTCTGAAGTGAAGCTATATTAAGTGTCAGGTTAATCTTAAAGTTGACTGAAGCTCCCCATGCTCCCAGCAGCCACTGACAGATTTTGTGTTGGAGAGAAGAAACTTACAGCAGTGGTTCTTGGGTCTTGTTTCTGCTCCAGAAGTGATGGTGCAGTGACTGCTGGCAGCTGCTGGCTTACTTCCTTGTGCATGTGTTTTGGGTTATTGCCACTTAAATTGAAACAGGAGGCTGTTTTTTAATTTCTCTGTTCTTTACCATCTTGCCATGAGCTTCTCTTTAGTGCTTTCCCAGCCTTTATGAGTTGAAGAAGTCTTGGGCAGCATTTTTTGGAGTTAAGAGGGAGAATTGGGCCCAGTCTCCAGCACTGGGGAGGATGGGTACAGCCACATAGGGTCTGAGTGACATGGGTCTTGCTTGAACTCAGTTGCTGTGGAGCGGGAGGTGGATGTGTCTCTGACAGAACCCACATGATGAAATTTTGCTTTTTTCATGTAATTTTTGGTGCTTTATTATTTGGCTTTTGCTTTGTCAGTTTGTTGGCTTTTAATTGCTACCCACAAAGCATGTCAGAGTCATTTGGTTTGCAGAGTTGAGCACTCGGAATCAGAGTTGTTGGATTCAAGTACATCTGTGCCACTCTTGGTGCATGCATGTTCTGCAGTGTATGATCCCGGTTAAACATTCATAAGCTGTTTTTTCCACGGGATGCTGATGGATTCAGGCTGCAGGGCGTGCAGAGCTCGCATGTGGCACTCGCTCAGTGTTGCTTTTCATTCTTCTCATACTATTTCCTTGTCCAGCTCCACGCTGCAGGAGTGTGATATTCAAGTAATGGCAGTGATGAAATGAGGTACAGGGAAATCCAGAACCACATCTTTCATCACTAAGGATGGCTGCTTCCAGTGGCTGGATGTAAGGAATGAGTAAGGCATATGTGTAGGGCTACTGGAAGGTTTTCACTTTACCAGAACCACACCGTATGCAGTGTGTTAAAAGCATTGAAGGCCAGCAAAGTCCTCTCTTTAAGCGTACAATTAAGCCATGATGAACTTGAGTTCTGTTGCAGTCTGCAGCTGTGGGGAGAGTACTCTCTTTATAAAGAGGATGTGTCCCTGAGTGAGAGTTACTCGGGTTCTTTGTTTATCAACTGAGATGTGTAGTGCCATTTCTCTCTTTGCTAAAAATAAAATGAAGGAACCAATGCCACGTGATGTGTGTTACTCCTGCAAGTGGTTCTGCAAGAGTCTCCTACTACAGACTGATTCGAGGTGTAACTAACTACTGGTAATATTATATCCCTGAGACACAATAGGCATGGCAGTGGTTTGTTTGAGCACGGAACATAAATTTCCTTGGTCAGTTGACATCTTCCTGATGGAGAGATCATTTCCATTTGGCTGTCTGCACTTCCTGCGGACATGGTTTCCCCCTCTGCGCACCTGGTGAGACCAGGCTGTAGGCACACTGCTGTCCCTGTGTGTGCCATCTTGCACACACTCCTCTTTGCCACTAAGATACATGCTGTGAGCACAGAGCTGGATCTCCCCTGGCTGTGGCTGCTGGCATCCACTGGGCCCCTCTACTGAAGCGCATTCGTGTCTCATACAGCTCTAAACTTAGTCAAAAAGGAATTTAGCTGTGGTGGACATCCAGAAGAATGGATATTTCCATGGTTATGGCACTGTCTGGGCTGTTACTGCTCGACCATACATTTTTGAGGTCCTTAATGAGTTTGTGGGGCTTTCATGCTTTGATGGCACGGCACTGCCTCTTCCTTGCAGTGGTGGTGGTGTGAGCAGTGGGTGTTAAGATGCTGTCACAGCAGGACAGCGTTCCCTAGGTGCAAGGAGGAGCAGCTCCCTTTGAGTGACAAAAGGGTTTTTTAGCACAGAGTAGGATCTGGAGCACAGCAGATTGGATCCTGGAAGTATTTATTCT